GCTGCACCCTGTTGGTAATCCTTGTAACTTTAATGCTATTGAACATCATAGAACAGAACCAACTTGTTTAATTGAAACAGCTGTTAAGTTTCATTAATTACATTTCTCATAAGCTTAACATGGGAAACTCCAGAGCCACTGGGGCGGAGCCCTTTTAAGAATTTCGAAACGGGAAATAGTTTACGTCCGATTCGCATACCTACAGAATTTACACACCAAATTTCATAACGATCGGTGAAGTCGTTCCGGAGGAGTTTGCAGACAAACACTGTGACACGAGAATTTTATACATTAGATATTAAATGCTATATATTATATACATAGTGTTTTTAATCTCTGGGGACATCAAATAGTCCAGGCAACGAAAGGATATAGAGGGAAATTTTTGGAACACAATTTCTGACTTCGTAACTTTGTTTAGTATAGTTAGGAGGTTAACATACCAAAAGTCCCCGCCTCTAGCCCTTGTGCTGTGGGGGAGGGGGGGGCTTGAAGGTACCATTTTTCGGTTTTTGGCTAATATCTCGGAAGCCATCCGTCCAAGCGAAATTATGCTAATATACAAAATGAAAGCTTATTAAATTTCCAGCAAGTTTGTAATTTACCATTTTTTGATATCTTGTATAGTTTTCGTGTTATTTGCTATCAAAAGTTAGTAAATTTGGAAAAATACATTTTTTTCTCATGTTTTTTGTTCTTTTTGACAAGTTGCCTCTCAAACTATGCACCCAAAAAATAAATGCTGGGCATAGGGTTGTAGAGAATTAAATTTCCTTCAATAATATATATAACTTTACTAGTTTACCTCCTTCCGTTCAGATTTTAAAGCAAATTAACTGTCAGTATAAAAAAAATTAAATTTAAATAAAATTTAAGAAAATTAAAATCTAGTGTTGAGCAAGGAATTTGAAGTCTTGCAACAGCTGTTGACTACTTAATATATTTTTATTTATCACCTTACATTACTAATTGGTTGGAACATTCACTATCAAGTAGCTAAGGTGAGTGATGGGCGTCTAAAAATGGCACAGATACCCTATAGAAAATATATACTTGTGGGCTGCCTAACCAGCTTCCTCACACTTGATGATCTAGCTAGACTATTGTAATGGGAAAATATGGTGTTATAACCATGTTAATGAATATAAAAGTGTATATATGACACTGGAAACCAATCACAACCATTAAATTTAAACAAAGATAAATTACATATTTGAATGAATTAATATAAAAAATTACATCAGTAAGTAGCCTACTATTCTATCCCTTGCTATCTTAGTTTAATAAGGACTACCATCCTCATCATTTTTATACTTTTTTTCATAGGTATACTGTTTTTCTTCATATTCTTAGTCATCTTTTCCAGGGACAACATTTTGACATTTTTGGTATACTTATTTTAGGCTTGCTTTTTTGCTACCTGATTTTGCACGAGTACAGTTTTATGTGCATAGGCAGAAAACAGTTTTGAGGATATCCTTCAGTGTAGTTTCATGCTGAGTGTACTCTGTTACTACAGAGTTTTTATTATTCTTTTCCACTCTTACATAAGAGAAGGCAGGTTATTTCCCAGCCACAGCTGAACCTTTTGGAATGTACATGATAGGAAACGATATTTGAAAGCACCATCAGTCGGAGGAAGACAAGAGATATTAGGCTTGATGGAGACTATCGATTTAAAAATTGACTTTTACCTGTATAGATTGAAGTTGAGTGCACGATACCTCTCTCGCTGAAGCCCATATCAAATCAAGATGTACATTTTCCCTACCTTTTGTATTTGGGTGGTGTTGGAGAGGGGGCGTGAAAGACAGATGATGCATTTTGGGCCACTGGGGAATTCAGATACAACTTCGCACAAGCAACCTTGCTTTTTTCAAATGCTGAAGATTTTTGGTCACATCAAGTAGAATCGCGTTCAAAATATCATCTAATCCTTGTTTAGATAGTTTATGGTGCCAGAAAAAGATGTCCCTTACCTTCTTTCCTAGAGAATAAGAGGATAAAAACGGATTGTAGTCCTTTCCAAACTAAGATAGCAAGGCTGAATTGATTCAATAGTAGGCTAAGGCTACTCACTAATGTAATGTTTTATGTTAATTCCTACTTAAACATGTCAATTGTCTTGGTATCAATTTTATGGTTGTGATTGGTTTCCAGTGTCATATAGACACTCTTATATGCAATAACATGGTTATAACACCATATTTTCCCATTACAATAGTCTAGCTAGGTCATCAAGTGTGAGGAAGCTGGTTAGGCAGCCCACAAGTATATATTTTCTATAGGGTATCTGTGCTATTTTTAGAAGCCCATCACTTACCTTAGCTACTTGATAGTGAATGTTCCAACCAATTAGTAATGTAAGGTGATAAATAAAAATATATTAAGTAGTCAACAGCTGTTGCAAGACTTCAAATTCCTTGCTCAACACTAGATTTTAATTTTCTTAAATTTTAATTAAATTTAATTTTTTTATACTGACGGTTAATTTGCTTTAAAATCTGAACGGAAGGAGGTAAACTAGTAAAGTCATATATATTATTGAAGGGAATTTAATTCTCTACAACCCTATGCCCAGCATTTATTTTTTGAGTGCATAGTTTGAGAGGCAACTTGTCAAAAAGAACAAAAAACATGAGAAAAAATGTATTTTTCCAAATTTACAAACTTTTGATAGCAAATAATACGAAAACTATACAAGATATCAAAAAATGGTAAATTACAAACTTGCTGGAAATTTAATAAGCTTTCATTTTGTATATTAGCATAATTTCGCTTGGACGCATGGTTTCCGAAATATCAGCAAAAAACCGAAAAATAGTACATTCAAGCCCCCCCCTCCCCCACAGCACAAGGGCTAGAGGCGGGGACTTTTGGTATGTTAACCTCCTAACTATACTAAACAAAGTTACGAAGTCAGAAATTGTGTTCCAAACATTTCCCTCTATACCCTTTTTTTAGCATTCGTTGCCTGGACTAAAAAAGAAAAAGAAAAAATAGGAAATTGGTCCCGAGCCCAGGTCTCACCGTGCCACCTTACGGTGATAGCCTACTACCTTATAGGGAAATTCACTTAAACTACGGGATTTCACAGTAGTTAAAAATAAAGATAAGGAAATATATTCAGTAAAACTGTACGCAAAATTTCAGTTTATTCTATAAGTATAAAATGAATGGACATTCAAACAGTAAAAATATGATGATATATTATTTTGAATACAGTTATGAGCAATACAATTTATTTTATAGCAATACTGTATACAGAGTAATATTTTTTCCCAGTTTTTACTTCAATTATGGTCACTATCTAGGTTTACAACTTTGTTTGAATTAGGTAAGTTATATATCATTGACTATACACAAAATAGACTTCCCATGTGATATACAAGTTTGAAGCCAAGAAAATAGATGAAGTTCAGTACAATCTCACCAGAGTTTACTAGTGTATTGGATTGAATCTATCTATATCTATCTATTACTTATTTAATACGCAAGCAGGGTTTTTGTGACAATTACTCCTCCGAAACTACTTAACCGATTGATTTCTTTTTAGGGAAATAATTAGAGAGTGAGGCCCTAGGGCCCTTTAAAGTTTCGTATTTCTCCATAAGGATAACATGGGAGATAATTTTTATTTACAGAAACATATGTTTGTTACTTGAAAATAGTCAAAGTCTACTACATAATAATTGCTGGGTATTATGACTCTTAATGTATACTACATTTCAATCAAGGATTGTGTACCTTAACGTTTACCCAGAATGGATCTTACTACTTTATTTTAATGCTGGGAATAGTAAAATTTAGTTGAGATACCATGATTTAGAAAACTTTACTATAATAATTTATGTATTAAAAATCACAAATCTTTGACATTATTAATTCATTTGAAACTAAACAGCTGATCGACAAATCAAACAAATCATCTACTTCATATAAATAATGATATTACACAAAAATAGGTTTTTTTTACTAATAACTTGATTTTTTTTATAAAAGAGTTATGAAAGCACCTAGCCAAGTAACTTTTATCTAATTTTCTTTATAAACAAACAGTATTAATGAATTACTACATGGACTTGACAAGTTAGGTAATTAATTGTCAGTATGCCAAGGGGAAGAAGAGTGGGTCCTCGAAAACAGACGAAGGCGGAGACACGCCTCTAGAAAATCCAACTGAGTTTTTTTAATATAGAGGTCAGTGGATTGCCAAGACACGGATTAGAATAATAAAAGGGGGCAGTGGTTTTATTGATGAGGAATATTATTACATCAAATGCCCCCGCCGCAGCAAACCTGCAGACTAAGCGAATTTCAACATGTCTGATTACATTTTTACTAAAATATTTCCATAAATAAGACATATTTATTCCCTATTTAAATAACATTATATTTAACGAGTGCTTAGGTTTGCTGCTACGGGGAAGGTAAAAAGTGTTTTTTGACCATACGTCAATAGTATAGGATGAAATAAATAAATTTGCCAAATTTTATCAATATATAACCATAAACAAGTAAACTACAACAATTTTCATTTTCTCCATAAGAATAACATGGGAATTTTAAATTACACTATTTTTGAATTTTCTCCGTGACCGTTAGGCATACAACAGCGCTTCAATTTACCAAATTATTTCTTTTTTTAAGCTCTACAAAACGGTTTAGGAAGAAATTGCAAAATCTTTTGTTTTTAGGGTCAAAAATGGGAAAATTTTTACCCCATAAAACCCCCCATAAACCCCCGTTCCCATGGTCCGATTATGCTGGATCGCGAACTCGTTCGAATAAACATAGGATTACACGTTTTCATCAAAATCATCATTCATTTTTGCTCGAGTTATCGCGCTAACGGACACATATATAAATAAATATATATATATAAATAAATATATATATATAAATAAATATATATATATATATATATGAATTTAAACGGATGGTGTTTTTGGTCTCTAGGGACCTCAAAACGAAAAAGTAAATCGGTCCCGGGTCCAGGTCTTACCATGAGTACTACGGTAAAAGCTTATTCCCTATATGGGAAATTCGCTAAAAGGGGCCTCATAAATGGCACAAGGCTTCATGTGATCAGAACGGTTAACCACTTAATAGAATGTGAAGTCTTAACTGGAACAAGTGAGTGGGGACATATTTTGATTTCGAGGATAAAAATGTGCCCGTCTGAAACAAACGTACCTTTTAATATGGAAAAATGCTGATTTCTGCTATCTTTGGCATTTGCAGCACAAGCGCTGTAATTTAGGAGCAGCATGTTTCTACCCAGACCAATTTCAGTCATGAGCAACTATATTAACTTATATGTTGTTTTAAGTAAAGCTACATCTTTTAATAGGATACGCATATTCGTTACAGTAACTCTGACCACAGGGTAATCTTCCTGAAGGTAACTTTAAGACTAAAATCGTAGTATTCATCATGGAAGTGCTTTTGGGATAAAATATTTTTTTAGTGTTTATTTTTAAAAGCGTGTTTTCTTCAAGCAGCATTTTTATGACCCTCAAAATATGCTACATAGGCCTATTGGTTGGATATAATAAAATGTTTTTTAATGTCTTTTAAAAATCTTCAAAAAATAACTAAGTTTACCCTATAACCTTGCTCGCTGCCTATAACATACTTGAACTTGAACACTTATTAATTTACTATTATTTATTACTATTATTTACTATTATTTATTTAATTTAGTAAATATAATACACATAAAGTCAGAAAATGGCTGGACTGCTTCCCTTCTAAGGCTTTATTATTACTGTATTTAATTTTCGACGTCGAGCCAATATATTACACGATGAATTTGTTTTCTAAATTCCTATGTTCTTTTGCGGGGCATTGAGCCGCACAGGTTCACTAGTACTTATTTAATACGCAAGCAGGTTTTTTGTGACAATTACTCCTCCGAAACTACTGAACCGATTGACATGTTTTTTGTGTCATTGGAAAGAGCGTAACGTGAGGTTCTGCAGGAAACTTGCTTTTTAGGGAAATAATTAGAGAGTGAGGCCCTGGAGACCTTTAAAGTTTTGTATTTCTCCATAAGATTAACATGGGAAACAAACATTGTTATGAAACTTCAGCTGTTGTCAGAAATTAAAAGTGAGAAGTAGAACATATGTTAATTGTAAACAGTCAATACATTTGCTAATTTAACAGTTTGCTACAAACATTTTACTGGCTTGGTTGAAATGAAATATTTACTATTTGAATTTGGGTTGGCGTAAATATTACAATGGAAAAAAGCGAGAGAGCCTGGATAATTTGATATACTAAAAAGAAAACTGAATTAACACTGTGCTGCATTTCTTAGTAATCATTGAAAGAGCCGATTTGCAAACTATTGAAACATAGGAAAGTCATAGAACACCACCAAGGAGAAGAAATAAAAATAATGTTTTTTTTTATTCTAATCGTTATTATGGACAACCTAATGCGGCTATGATGAGTATGGCTATTTTTAGAAAACACTAAAATAAAAAACAAGATCAGCTTTTGAAAAATTATAGGATATTTACAAGAAATGTTGATTATATCGATACGTTATGTACACCTTGAGTATTTCCATAATCTTTGAGTTAAAGTCATCAGAAATTATTACTGTTATTCGTTTTAAAATAACGCCTGTAATACTTAGCAACTGCTCGAATTCGAGCAACCGGTACACTAGTATTAATAAAAACCAATACATTATCATAGGAAACAGCTGATTGATTTATCACCTAACACAGAAATTGTCATTAGTTGCCGACCATCTCAACAGATTGCACCATGTTTTTTGGCTTCAAATTTTTACATTACTTGGGAAGTCTATTCTGTGTATAGTCAATGGTTATATACAAATTAAAGAGTAAAAATAAAGACGAAGAAATGTTTTGTAAAACCTCAAAACGTTTAGAGTTGCTTTGTTATACCTGTTTCAAGTTATACTTGTTTCATTATTGAGCCTAAGTATAGGTACACTTTGGTTACTTCCCTCGGTGGCAATATTATCTCGGACGAGTGTCAGCTACGGAGATGACGTCACAGTCAGCTGATAATGTGCTGGTCTTCATCGTTATGCTCTTCCCCAGCTGGCCACAGACTCTCCACCTGCATGGTTCAACATGTTTAACATCGTGCGTGTCAAAAATAACATATATTAATTCTTCGTTATACTACTAGTTCAGGAGCTGAGGGGGTTCGAAAAAATGCATCTGTCATAACCAAGTGAAAATAGGTCGACAATGACTGGTAGTATATACTTATCTTTATCTAGCACTATTTTGAGATTATGGTCTTTGTTTGTAAATGCACAATATTAAATTGGGCTAAAAATAAAGTTTTAAAAAGCCCTCATAACTTTGGAATGGATCAAGATTTTTTTAAACGGTATGTGGTATTGTAGCCAGGGTTAAAATCTAGTTCGAAATAATCGGTAACAACCCCACCTTTATATTTGAAAAAAAATATTTTGCATCCAATATAGTGGATCCAAGATGGCGGCCGGAAATGACCCCCTTGTCAAAATGAAGTACTTACTACCCAACAATGTTTGGAAGTGGTCTGGGATTTATATTTCAAAAAATGTAGAAAAAGGTTGGGGGGGGGGGCAATTAAAACTCACCCATAAGGTTAACAATTATTATAACACTATCAGAGTACCCGTCCTTCGTACGGGGTTGGAATATAAGTATAAAATGCTTATTGCAGTTATACTCAAGCTTTGCGTTTGCAATAAGGGAGGACGCAGTTTGATAAAATTTGCTTTTTTAAATTTACAGTATTCTATAGTATTACACATCTACCATAGCCATTGTTCTACCACTTCACCTAAACAATAGAGAAAAACTAAATTATCAACTCGCAAAATATCACAAATTATTCATGAAATGAAAAACATAAACATAACTGTAAACAATCCTACTTTGACAGTTCTCATTGCGAATCGCAGTTTTTTGTTGCTGCTTAGTTCAAATTACCTGTTTTCATAAATGCAAAAAAATATAGTGCTGCACCCTGTTGGTAAATCTTATAACTTTTTAATGCTTTTCCATATCATAGAACCAACTTTTTTAGTTGAAACAGCTGACTAAATTCTGTAATTCCCTTTTAATATGAATACTCATAAGGTTAACGTGGGGAATTACAGAGCCACTGGGACGGAGCCCGAAAGGATTTTTGAGATAAGAATATGCCTATATATGTTAATCGGGAATGTAAGCTATCATCATGCCAAATTTCAGCCCAATCCGTCTAGTGGTTTATGCGTGATTGAACTTCAAACACACAAACAAACAAACACACAAACTTTCACATTTATAATATTAGTAAGATTACTAATGGTAATTAATTCATCTATATTCAGATATCAGTATTCTCTCCAACTTCCAAAAAAACAATTAATTTAACAACTTAATGCCTAAACAGAATCATAGTATCAAAAATATTTAAGTATTGCGACCATTGCAGCTTTTGGCTCCTCTTTAACCACGTGAAAAATAGTAATATCAACAATCACAGATAGCTCAGAGGTAAGGTAAGAGGTTCATAAGTTGAAGGTATCCGGTTCGAGACCTGTCCAGGTATAAAAATATTTTTTTCAAAAATTGTTTTTATGCACTATTTAATCAAAATACTCAACTGATAAATGTTCTTTTCAGACTAAATCTTTATTATTTTGTGTTTTTATGTATTTATTATATATTTTTTGTGATCTGTCAGCGGATATCCGTATAGTATTCAGTTTTAGAAGTTCTTAAGATATTGTAAATCTAATATCTGTTGAAAGTTGAAATTAGTGACATTTAAACTTCTTCACAATATCTAACAAATATAAATATATTGATCATCTATGATATCTTAAATATCCAAGTGAAATGTTTATAAGATATTCTATAGATACCTCTGTGCTGTCTGGGATTCGCACACTATTTATAAGAAGCCTGATAAAAATAATCGCTAGTGCAGAATACAATTATCTACAAATATTGTATTTAAAGTTCTTATTTGTCCTTAATATTGTGGTTTAAGGCCAAAATTATATACTTATATTCCTCTAAAATGGTTAGAAGAAGAAGACAAGCCAACCTTTAGAGGTTATGAAAGTGAAGTGAGTAGACGTTGCTATTGTTAAACATCTCCATAGACACCAACATTGGTCTTGCAATTGGGCAAGATTACTATGATGCTGTCACAAGAATTAAATCTACAAACCACCACCTTAAAACCTTAACTACGAATAAAAAAGTGATATATTTTGATGATGACAAGAGATTTATTCTGGAAGATGGCATCAATTCTCTTGCTCTTGGCCATTATAAAATTAATCAAACATAAATCCATAATTGCCATTATTCTTTAGTATTTCCTTGTCAATTATTAAAAAGCCATAGGCCTATTTAGTTTTATCCCAACAACAGAGGAAGAGATTTCTAAATAATTGGTTAAATCAAACGTCATTACCAACATGATTGTTATACACATGTTTTAAAATTTCAATCGTGTTGTTTAGAAAATATTAGGAAATCATCACGTAAATGTTTGTGTACTTTGCTGCAAGATTGACACAAGTAAAACAATTTTGAAGTGTTGACTAACGACAAGTTTGGTTAGTTAAGTTAGCTTAGGATAGCTTCATCTATATATAAATCCAATGTATGTTTGTTTGTATGTATGAATGTTTGTTTGTCCTTTATGGACTCCGAAACCGTTCAAACAGATTGTAATGAAACTTTCAGGCATTATTAAGCATTATTCAAGGATGGTTTGTGTGAAGTTTGGTGCAGATCCGTCAAAAGTGCTCCGCCCTAGTGGTTCTGGAGTTTCCCATGTTAACCTTATGAGTACTCATATTAAAATGGAATTAAAGATACTTAACAGCTGGTTCAACTAAGCAATTTGATTCTGTGATGTTCAATAGCACTAAAAAGTTAACAAGTTTACCAACAGGGTGCAGCACGATTATTTTTTTTAATTATGACAACAGATAATTTGCTCACCAAAAGGTGAGTGAGCGTAGCGAACGAACTTTAACCTGGAGGCGAGTTAGCGTAGCGAACGAGCTAACCTGAAGGCAAGTGAGCGCAGAGAACGAGCAACCCAAAGGTGAGTGAGCGTAGCGAACGAACTTCAACCAGGATCTTGAAAATAAACAAGCATTTGACATAAAACCACATTAGGACAGGACGACGTCTGTCGGGCCAGCTAGTTTAAATATAAAGTCTATGATTGTTTAGTGATACTGAACAATATTTATTAATCGTAGTTGTCCGCTGATGTGTTTCAATTTGGTGAAATAAATATATCGGTTCAAAAAATAAAATATCGATGTATAAAAAAATCATCGATAATAATCAATGTTCCCTAACAGGAAAGTACCCAATCTACATATTGTTTTACCAAAAATAAGATCCCTGTTCTATCTCCTTTCACAAAGTTCAACCTTCACATCCAATTTTCCAGTGGTTCAGTTGGTTTTCTCATAACACTATTGAAAAGTATTAGATAGTCTATCTTAAAGTAGCATAAAAACCTTTACTTTTCGGCATAATGTGCTCTGACACTGTCTCAACATGCTCCTTATTTTATATTATTGTATTTTTATTGCCTCTTCTTATTTTTACCTGGGCAACCGATACTACATTTGAATTTTTTACCTGAGTTCATAGCTGGCAGTTCTGGGAAGTTATTATATTCTTGTCAAGCTGTAGCACAATATTAGAAGTTTTTGAAGAGACGTAGCTTAGTAAATAAATGTTTTACACTTACTATGTACGTAAGAGCTATGAGGAAAGCAAGCGCTGTGGAGAAGACGAGGACGATCCTAAGTGGGTGTTCGCAGAAGTGGTGTAGGGCCATGACGGGCTGGATGTGTTTTGGTGAACTAACACAGGCCACACTAGACACACACAATACACCAACACATGAGTGCATCGTCTGTGTTATCTTGGCAACTGCACATGAGTGTTGCACCTTATCTCTACGTTAAATTACACCTGATCAATGTGTTTTAATGGATATTCTGTTGTGTGTCCACATGTCAATGTTGTTATGTGTAGTGAGTAGCAGCTTTGACTAGATACTTTATTAGGTAGATCTAGACATTACATTCCTACGTTTAAGTTGTAAATGAAACTAGTCAAAACTGTTTAATCATTATAAAATTATTATACTCATTAGTACTTGGGTTAGGTCAATGATGATAGCTACGTTACTGGCTAAGATCAGGTGGTTTTATAGCAGCCAGCTGATCTTATTCCATCAATTAAAACCCTAATGATCAAGGACAGTAGGATCCAGTTTCTATCCACACAGTTGAGCCAGAAACTTTTCTGAGCATTATGTTCATTCAGCTACCCAGTGTGACTAACCAACACAAGTAGACTTCCCATCCCATTGTAAATTTTTAAGCTTATTTTTCGTGTCTAGTTCAAGTCCGGTGACACTGAGGACTAGTGTTGACGACATTTTGTTTTTATTATTTTAAAGGTTAATTTCATTATTTTTTTGTGCTTTACTGTTTGGTTATATAACTAGATGATGAGTTATTGTTTATGATTATATCGTTTTATTTGGTTAAACGGGGTTTAAAATGACTATATACATGTAATAACAAGAAACAAATTGTAAACAAAACACGACCCTACAGTGCACCGGACAGAACTAACGATAACATCTGCTTCAGCTGTTCCATAAGGATGGGAAATCTACCAATGGAGTATGCTTTATCTATGCTAACATATTACAGATTAGCTGCGTTGTGTTGTAATAAAGCTAAATGTACAGTAAGTTAGCTCTACAACTTACAGTGTCTAAGTAGAAGGACTACCGCAGGTGCAAAGAAGACAAGCAGGGCCATGCTTATCCAAAACCACGGTACTTTGTAATTAATCTCCGTCTCGACTTCTTGAAGCGGGACGTCCACCGTCACCAACCGATCTCTGTGATGTGATCATTGTATTATATTATACTATAGAACAAGTACTATCAATCTACTAGTAATACAGCAGCCTTTTTACATGTATCTACTTATATTAGCAACTGTACAAATATAGGTTTTACGGGACTGTTGCTGGAAGTCAACAGTGCCGGAAGGTCAAATAATTTATGATTGTGCCGATAAGTAAAAAACCACAATGTTTGCAGTGTCTGTAGGTCAAAAATCCCATTGAGCCAAATGCAACGCAACCGATTTTACCACTATAAAAAAATAAATGACGGTCCCAGGGCTGAGGCCTGAAAGTTGTCACGACATTGATCATTGATGTTATATAAACCTACTCCATGAAATTCTAAATTCTACATGTAAGTACCAAGTTTCGTGTACATTGGTCCAGTGGTGTCTTGAGTTTATCACTACCAAACAAACCAACAACCTCTTTTATACTTATAGATGTGGTATCTCACCTGTCTTCTGTTGACATGACTGCTATTATTGAGTCCCCTGTCGCCGCGCCGCACTCATACACTCCTACGGCTCCTAGACAGTGGCCGTCGCAGCTGATGATCTAAATGATTACTGTATACTTCCTCTGCTTGACTCACTTCCCCTTCTCTTATCGATCATGATAACACTGTCATCAATGAATGCTCTGATCTGTTGAACGAACGTAATTAGTGAGGACAGCTAATGAAACAAATTTAGTAGTTTACATATTATACAAAATTATGTTAAGTGTCTTTTTGCTTTAATCAATATAAAAATTTAAAATTTTCTGCTAACTCAGGAATAGAACTTATATACCTCAGGCTGATATAGCTGTAAGGCATTAGTGTATTAGGAATTAAAATGTATTTATGATTTAAGATTTAGTTGGTAGGGCCCGGGTGTGCTATAATTGAAGGTAGGACAGTCTGCCAAAAGTGATTCTGAGAAACCAACCCTCCCAGAGAAAGGAGCAGGGGGGTCCAGGAGAAAGGGGTTTATTGTTGTGGTCAAGAAACAATAGGGCACGGCAGAAGGATAGCTCTGAGTCTATTCTCCCCAAAACATTCCCTATAGGTTATTTTAAAAGATTTTGTGGGTAAAAGAGGGACCTAAGGAAGGGGCGATAGGGGGTGTGCGAGCTGGGCAAAAACTACGACTAGGATTAGGGAAACTTCCAAGAAGGACCTTAACCCCAGATCACTCGAGTACGAGGGGGAGGTATTTAACTAGAAATTGACTAGAAATAGGCTAGAAATTTACATCAGTAGAATTGCCATTGGATTAAATAGATAAAAATATCTACCGTGCTTGTTTAAAACTATTAGGTGGATTTAATTCAATGTCTAAACATTTTTACGTTAACAACACCAAGCTTTAAAAATTCATAAAGGTTTGCTAAAAAAATCTTTCACTAATGTATTATCATTTTCATAGCATAAACTAACATTTTGAATTCCAGACAGAAAACGCAAAAATTATACAGTAAGACATCAATTAAATTTAAAAAGAAATAAGGGGCAGCACTAAACGATAACTATAGTTCTAAATAAACATGTGTTTGTACGTAAAAATGGTTCTTAACTGCTACCACCGGTTCTAAGGAAAAGTAATAGTACCAAAAATCAACGTTTACATTTAAGAAAACAACTTTAGTACTTACGACCAATTCAAACTGTCCTTCTAATCAAACTGTATTATAGGAGTTAATCCGTTGGCAAATACAAAAATAAATAAATACACAGGCCACAAAACATGTAACATGTAACGTTAACAACTTAAAGCTTTAAAAACTCACTATGGTTTGCTCAAAAAACCTTTCACTTGATGTGGTGCAGTTCCGAAGTTATTAATCTCCCTTAGTTTTAATTTTTTTAAAGTTTTTTCCCATTAATACTATTATTTGAGAGCAACTTTTAATGTTAATATATTAATGACAGTTTGAAGAAACCACCTTTATCCAAACAAAGGTTTCCTAAGTAGGAAAAGTACCGATATCGTTGTCGAAATATAAGTAAGTAGAAACCAAAAGTGACACATTGGAAAAGCGAGTTTAGCTACATCTGTAAGTTAAACCTCTTTTGGTACGTCCAGAGTGCGCGCCGATTCAGATTCAGATTCAGATTTTCGGCGGCAGGAATGGCACATGCATTTAAATGGAAGTGTCCATAGTGGCCGCCGGTTTCCGAGCCGGCGCGCAGGCACCTGCTTACCGGAATGAATTCTTCATTCTGGTTTCAGATTCAGATTCAGATTTTGCTCGTTCGCATACTATTTAGTTAAATAAATTATACTATTTAGTTAAATAAATTATGTTTTTATAGTAAAATATTAATTTTGTCATTATTACTTTTAGGATTACCACTAAACGGTCTTCAGATATTTTTTTATGTTGGTTATATACACCAGTTTCTTACAATACGATGTCCAATTTTTATAATACGTTTCAGTGGTTCCCACTCAACGCAATATCATTTCTAGCTATAGGGAAAGGGATATATAATATCATGAACCCAATTTTTCACTGACTGTAACTTCACAACGGTTTCAGAGGCTATAATTTTACACGAGACCTTACCGTCAGACCGCCACCGCCCACCACCATAACGCATCATACCGTTCATAGCCGAACTGTTCGTGGGAAATTGTTAGCTCTATCACTTTAGCTGTCAAAACGTGTCGTTTGTAGGTTACATTTAAATTAATTTAACTGTCATAACCTAACGAAACTAACCAAACTTGCTGATAATGAAAATTTCGAATGAAGGTTTACTAATAACAAAAATAGTTCTTTTCGCAAAATAAAATTATAATGTCTCAAAATCAATTATATAATTTTTTAAGTTAATTATAAAATTAAACTATCATAACCTAACCAAACCAACCAAACTTGCTGATAATGAAAAAAATCGAGTCAAAAAGTAATGGTGTTCGCTCGAGCAGTGGTGGGTGGTGGTGGGCGGGTACGCATGTTAATTTCTCATCCGACAATTCTATAACAACAGCTGACTTGTTTCTTTGCTACCGAGTCAGTACCGGTGGCGTATTTCCTGCTTCGACTGTGAACACCAACAAAATATCTGACTCAGCCAAGCACCGAAAATCTGAATCTGATTCTGAATCTCAATCGGCGTGCACTCTGGACGTACCGACGATCACAGCGAAATCGGAAAGATCTTCCAAGATCGCAGCAACATCCACGATCACCCACTGCAGTTGGGATTTTTTACTTTGCCCTTTACACAACTGTCCTTGAAGTGCCGTCAATGAGTGGAAACCTTTTTTGTAAGCTATTGGTGACGATGATAAAAAAATTTAAGATTTCCAGCACTAATACAACACTTTCTCGGTATTTTTCCCGGTTATCAAAACTCAAGAACAATCGTTGCACTTGCGATTAATTAAACCGGTTAAGTAAGGCACAACGTTTTTTATCTCACTTGGTTTGGATGTGCTAACAAAACTTGATCGGAAATGGTTGCGGTATTTGTAAACAACTTTTAATGTAAACATATCGGTGACAGCTAGAAGTGAGAATTAATCCAAACAGCTGATCGTTATTTCATAAAATGTAATAGTAAACATTGGGAGAAAATTTGACAAAAATCAAAGAAAATTGGGGTTTTGATGGTTCGTTATTTTGTTTTCAAAGAAACGAGGCCATGTTTTTATAGCCAAAGACACTCTCACCAATCTAGTAAATACAGAAACATGATTAGAACCTTGATCGGTACTCTAGTTTTCTAGGAGTAGGCCGCGTAAAATGACATTTTGGCGTCACAGACGGAATGACAGAATGGACAAACATACAGACAGACAGAAATTGAGATAAGACTCGTTTCGGCTTTCTTAGGCGACGAAACGTAAAAATAACCAAAAACTGCATGATTCTAAGCAATGTACAGACAAAACTGTAATTGTATTTACATAGATAGACGTATAGTTTCTCATAGGTGCTATAGAAGGCCGATTGGAACCACCATCTGTTTATTGTCACTTTCATAAATTACAAACGTTGATGAAATAGTCGCACTTTATGATTCCATGGCATGTTTTCATACGAATCGAAACTCAATAGTACATTCATCAATTTCAAATCTTTTTGATTTAAGTTAATTCTTGTTAACGATATCGATATCTTGATTTTTTAACTGCATTACACGACAAATATTTTACCCTGCTTAAGTTTTTAAATAATGGTGCAATATAATGAATAATATAGTTCTTCACACGGGGAGAAAGTGTTTTTCAACCCTCACTCATTTTTTCGGGTTGAAAATAGTCACGCTCTAGTGAGGAAATATACTATAGGCTATAGGCCTCCACTATACTATAGTGGAATAGAATACAGAATAGGACTGGCCTCTAAGGAGGTAGGGGATGCGACGTTGCCACTTCGTTCTTGGCTGGTGAGCTGACTTTCACCTAGAGCCGGGGAGCGGGCGCGGGCATCCCTCTGACTCTGTCTTCCCACTTGTAGGGTAGTTTAACACTACAGATTATTAATTTTTTGGCGGTATCGGTTAGTGTTGTCATGTTTATATCACATGGATGATACATTCATCTCTTACATGATTATGGATAGATTATTTGCACAATTAATGACTTAAACCGCTACTAGATTTAGTTTTTGAAAAATATATTAACATACAATTAATAAATATAAAATGAAAATACATTTTATATAGGGTCACCTTTAAAAGTCTCTGGAAATATGTTGCCTATAGTCAAACGTTTGTCAACCCAAGGCCCCACTAGAAAACCCCAATTTTTAAACAAATCACCGTAACAATAAGAGCAAATGAATACATATGGTCCAAAAACTTTTATAGCAGTTCTAAAAATCTTGTAAATTGTTGCCCTTCTTATAGTTTGATACATAAAACAAATTAACATGGAAATGCAGAAGGTAAAATCTTTCATATTAAACATTTACAGCAATAGTTTGGTTGTGTTTAGGAAACGAAGTTGGTCAATGTTTAGGAATTACCCCAAAGCTGCCTTTCTTTGAACACCTATTGTGACCCTCACTCCGTTAATCTTATTATTGCCACTCGACTGAACTTAAACTTACGGAGAACAGGTAGCTCAATAGTGACGAAGACATTTCTGTAATATGTATTGTGATTTTAATATGTATTGTGATTTGACAAAAAAGTCCGTTAGTTGTAGATTGAATTTAAGAAAATTGAACTAACGTTTACATACATTAGGTTATGTGTTGCATTTATTAAAATAGTCATACGATATATTCACTCTTCTATAACAAAAAAAACTTCTAATGTAGGTACTCTAGAAATCCTCAAAAAACATACCAGGTAAAAAGGGAAATAGATAACATAACTGCCAATTTATTACCAAAATGACATAACTATTTTTATTAGAAAATATTATTACATTGCACTGGAAATTGTTGCATAACAATATTTACAAAAGAAAATATTGACGTATGAAACTTAAATAAAATTTTTAAGGGACAATGAAATTTTTATATACGCCTATCAAGATATTTGCATTACGTAAAGGCACCACGTTCGACATTACGATATCGCA